AGTGGTATGAGGTCTTCAATCAACACACAGGGTTAGCTTACAGTGAACACGATCTATATTGCATTTATTGAGACGTGTCCCACGTATCTTAAACTAGCAGAACTGAGGAGAATCAATAAATTGCATCAACAGTGACGTGTACGTTAATATTTTAAAAGAACAAATCCTATTCGCTCTTCATTTGATCTGCATCGTGACATTCAGCGCTACCTCACGTGCAGACAAGTTAGGACACAGTGGTTGCCAAGTTACACTTCGACAGAAGCACTTGCGCAAACTTCAAAGCCGCTCGTGTGAACAATAATCTGTAATGTCCGTTTGAAAGTTTGCCGCACTCACTGAAATGTTTGATACCTGTTCTGGACTTGACCATTAACGACACCAGCGTAGCCATCTTGAGCAATGTTGCCTACGTCATTCACCCGCGTCACATCCGTTTACCTTTGCTACGTTCAAGTTCCTCAAGAAATACAGAAAAGTCCGAAATAGAGACCAAAATGCACTACTTCTTCTTCTGTTAAATGAACATATAAGTATACCTGCATTGCAGTTAAGATACGTGATTTCAGTTGACAAATAGATGCCTTTGTTTGTTTGTACATATGTTGAATAAAGGCTTGTTGGGAAAAAAACAAACAAACAACTTATTCTTCTTCCTTCTGTTATTTCTGTTGGCGGTTTTCAAACAACGACGGTGCATTACCGCCACCATTTGGTATGGAATGTGGACCGAAATTACAAAAAAAAAACCAAACCAAAAAAACCCCATGGTGTGTTAAAGAGCACAATATGGCCTGCTGAGACACTTCTTGAGCTCTTTTGAAATAAATCAACAAAGTCCCGTTTCATTTTCATGTACATTTTTGGATTAGCTGTCTTCTCTCAACCTCATATTTCCGATAATGCACTAAATCACGCTCTATGGTCTCATCTTCTCTATTGCTGTCATATTTTCCTGTATAATGCTATCCTATTAAAAATAATGTGCTGTTTAAACCTGTATGCCCAAGTCAAAGATGTGATCTTCTCTATGCTGTTCCTTCCTGTGCTTCTCCTCTCTCCTACTTTCCTTTGGATTTTGTAAAACCAACCTTCCTTTTCTTTTTTCATCCCATTGCTTTTTCCACCTCTTCTTCATTTTCTTATTATATGCCTTATTATGCTGTTAATATCTGTCATGCTGACACTGAGTGACTTATTGTGGCTTTCTTTCCTGTTCTATCTGTCATTTCAGAATCAGAATCAGAGAGACTTTATTAATCCCAGTAGGCAATTGAGTTGTCATAGCAGCAAATATACAACAAAGATCAAGCGCTCATAGAAAATGAGTGTAGAAACCAATGACTGTAGAAAACACAGTCATTGTTAGAAACAGGCACGGTGGTTAGCACTGTTGCCGCACAGCAAGAAGGTCCTGAGTTCAATTCCACCATCAGGCCGGGGTCTTCCTGTGTGGAGTTTGCATGTTCTCCCCGTGTTTGCGTGGGTTCCCTCCGGGTACTCCGGCTTCCTCCCACCGTCCAAAAGACATGCAGCTTGTGGGGATAGGTTAATTGGATAATCCAAATTACCACTAGGTATAAATGTGAGTGCGAATGGTTGTCTGTCCCTGTGTGTTAGCCCTGCAACAGACTGGCGACCTGTCCAGGGTGTACCCCGCCTCTCCCAGCTGTCATAGCCCTTTTCAGGGTCTGAAAAGGAGAAGCGGAAGCGAATGGATGGATGGTAGAAACAGAGATTTAATTTCCTTTAATTCCATATTGTGCTGGTACCCACAAAAGTAACCATAAGTCCCATCAAACTGACTCTGTAAAGTGTTTGATGAATCTGCATTGTATGTGAGTTTAAAATAAAAACCGCGTCCTTTTTCTTCTGACCTGATCCAGATTAAATTGAGTTGCTTTCCTACTCACCGTCCAGCCAAAGCTCTGTATTCCTCTTTTCTCTATTTCCCAGCTAATCTTGGATGATCTTGTTCATGTCCCTGTAGATTTGCCCAGTAGTTGAGTGTTAGCTGCTCTCTTCGGATTTTATCCTGCTGAATTATATGCTATACACCTGTAATCTAATACCTAACTAATAGTAATATTTGACTGTCTGTTAAAAAGACAGAAAAATACAAGTACAACTGACCATTTATACTAGTTAATAGACCTTCTCTCCACATCATATGCTTTTTCTATATAAAAGAAAACTGCCAATACACCTGTGGCTTAAGGATGCTGGATCCACATCGCCCTCTTCTAAAACCACTCTGATATTTCGCCATAAATCCTTTATCCTTTATTTATATAGTATTTCATTTTCCATTCTCTCCATTATTTTGCAGACATTAGATGTTAAAGTTATTGGTCTGTAGTTTCCTGGTTTTGTATCATCCTTCCCTGGTTTATGTAAACCATTGTATAACAAACCTGATGCTTTGTCTTTGCAAACGGTATATTCAAGAAATCCTTTGTGTCATTTTCTAGATCTGTAATGCCTCTACCTATTTTCCCGTCGTCACTATTGTTATTTAAACGAACTTTAGCAAAAGTTTCTACTAGCACACCTGCCTTCTCTTCATGATTCTCTGCTGCAGCTTCCTTGTCATTTTTAATGGTTCTTCTTACATTAGCCTGTGACCTTTTATGTTCAATAATATTCTGAGAATTCTGATTCCTTTTTAATATCTTAAAAGCTTTATTTCAGCTCTTAATTGCTTTATCACATTCCTTTGTTCCCTCGGGTACAATCTTCTTTTTGCTCTTATCTTCTTTCTACTCTGGTTTGCTGCTTCTTGAATAGCATTGCAGACAGAAGAATTTAAATCATCATTATTAACATTCATAAAAATTTTTTGCATCTGCTGGTCACTAACAAGTCTAAATGTCTTCCAATCTGCAGAACTAAAACATCGCTTTTTGTACGCCGCCTGTATCACACTCCTCTGTAGTTCTGTCATTTCCTGCTCTTGTTTCTTTAACTACCTGCCATGAAGAAACACATACCAGTGAACCCGATACTAATGTGAGATCAACTGGTTATTCCGTACCATCGAGGACATTGCTTCTTGTACCACTTCCATCATTTAGGTGTACCAGATTTTTCTTCTTCTTTAATTCTTCAGTTACTGCTCCTTTTTGATCATTATGTTTTATTTCTACTCCTGCACCATCGAGAGCGTCCTGACGTCAAACATCTGCACCTGGTTTGGGAACAGCACCAAGCAGGACAGACGAGATCTGCAAAGGGTGGTGCGCTCGGCAGAACGCATCATTCAATCAGAGCTCCCTGACCTGCTGTCCATCTACACCAAGCGGTGCAAGTCCAAAGCTAGGAAGATTATGATGCACCTCTCCCATCCCAACAATGGACTCTTCTCACTGTTGAGGTCTGGGAAGCGCTTCCGCTCCCTTAAGGCCAAAACAGAGAGAATGAGGAGGAGCTTCTTCCCCCAGGCTATTCGGGGCCTGAACCAGGTGTAGGACTGGACTCTCCCAAACACGTCACTATAAGACTGGACTCTCACACACGTCACCACACGCACCACCACACATTTCCTATAATCCTATAATTCCTATAATTTATAATCCTTATCTTTATAATCTCTTCTGCTATTTGCACATTCTTTACTGTAAATTCCTAAGTTAATTTGTAAATTTTTGTAGTAAATTGTAAATATTGTAAAACTTTTCGTCTGTCATTTAATGGTCGGGCATTGTACAGCTACAAGCATTTCACCCCCATGTCATACTGTGTATGGTTGTGTGTGTGTGACAAATAAAATTTGAATTTGAATTTGAAGTAGCCTGAAATGTTGGGATATTAAAACAAAAAGATACAGACACAACTGCTATTAAAAGACTTCCATCTATAAGGATTTTAGATAGTGTGACCTCTCTCTTTTTCAGTTTGTGCAAAAAAATTATTGGGCTCAACTGCACCCCCCCATCCTCCTTGCTGAATTTTAGGACTATTTTAAACTCTTATAATCTCTTTCCAGACCACACTACCTTCGTCTGAACTATTTCCTCTAAATTTTTGTTTGCTGCTCTGTGTTCCTAATAAATTTCCATCCACTCTTCTGTTTCTCTCTTCGTGACTCCTTTTCACCAACCGGCATCAACTCTCCCTAATCCATGTCGTCCTCATCCTCTACCTGAAATGTCATTCTAGTCCAGCCACACACCAGCTTATGCCAAGCGCAAAAATCTGTGATCCAAATCAGGAGGGCGTATCGATCCAGTTATCGATACCAAAATTGGTATTGGCATTAGATCAGCACTATTGCAATAGGATCAATACTTTGTTTCTGTCCTCCAAGTTCAGCAAATAGCCCACTGAATTGTGTTAAATCTATTATTTATTAGGAAATGAAAAAAATACACCTCAAACATGGACTATGAAAAATATCTCAACCTTTTTGTATTGACTGTCACAACTATTTTATATAGCACATTTAAACAACAGAAGCTGACCCAACGTGCTTTATAAACACGCCTATTTACATTACAGGTCTCAAAGAACCCAAATTTTGAAATACATGTGTGTTGTGTTTTGTTGTGTTAACTAAGTATTGTAGAAATTAAATTTCTGAGTGATTTAGTGGTCGATGACGATTCATCTCATAAATCATTACACACTGCACTTCCCTACATAAGCTGCCTTTATAAGTTAAAAGTATCAGTACCGGCAATACTGGCCCTGTATTTATTTGATATCGGATCGATACCGACGTTTGCAGTATTGCACAGCCCTGACGTAGTCCAAAAACCAAAAAAAACTAAGAATCACTTTTGTTTGTAGTTTAAATCTCACGCCGTCACGTTCTTTCCGTCTGCAAACCTCTACTTCTAAACGCACTACTACTATCTCTACTACTGTTAGGGCCACATTAAAAAAAAGGTTAGTTTCTATTTTGGGATTAAGGTCGATACTTTGAGTTTAGAAACATTATTTGAAAAAGTTTTTCTTTTCTTAATGTGGCCACAAGACCCGGCCTCAGTGTCCACGGAAGTTTCAGAAAATCCTCGTCCTCGGGGAACCCCTGAATGCATCATTACCCGGGGAAATCAAACAAGTCTCGCAGTTCTCTGTGTTCGGGTAAATAAATAAATAATTTCTCGCTGTAGTTTGAAGTTAGAGCGAGTAGTTAATATTTTTTCTTATCTATGCTGCTTCTTTATTAACTACTTAATTACTACTGCCTTGTAATTTCAAAGAGTTAAGCGAACCGCAGTAAGTGACGCGTTAAGCTAGTCTGCTAACCTTCAGCTGATGCCTGGAGTCGGGTAAAATGTGCTCGGGTTGTCCTTCCTGATCGTTTCTAAAAGAACATTAATGTCGTGCCAAACTCAATTTAAAAAGTAATTTCTTTATCGCCAGGTCCTGTTTGGTTAGACACAGCGTAGCTGTAAGTTGGATATTCAATTAAGTGAGAGAAGTCAATAACGTTACACCAAGCGACTCCTATAATTGGCCTTGCTTATCTTCTAACTGCAGAAAACACTACGGTGGGCGGTAACAAGCACTGCGCACTGTTTATTCAAATAAGAATTTCACTGAAATAAGGCTTGCTGGTTGGACTGTGTTCAAGTCGAATTTACGAAAACGCCTTTACCTGTTGCTTTAGGTTTTGATTTTCAGGTTTACCTAATAATTTGTTAATTATTTAAGAAGCATAAAGACTTTTGTTTCAAATCTTGTTGAGTGATGATGCTCTTGTTGTTCTTGTGTCACACAATATGTACAGTAACCTCCGTGGACATGTGATCATGGGCAGCCAAAGTGACTGCACCAGTGACCCAGATGAGGAGCTGCCTGTGTTTGACTTCCTCCAGCCAGCTTCCCACAGACGTGCAGAGAAACCAGACTTGGTCGACTTTGATGGTTCTGATGCTGCAGCAGCAGCTGTCTCCTCCCCAGGGAGGGGGAGTGGTGGCGTGTGCATGGGAATGGCTAATGTAATGATAATCAGCAGCAGTTCCGATGATGATGATGCACCTTATGTTCCTTTGGCACAAAGAATCAAGGCAAGGCGAGACAATGTGATTAGCGCCTCCACCATCGTGACTAACGAGAACGATGCTGAGCACTGTTTGCCGCTCTGTCTGACCAGCTCACAGTTTTCTGGCCAGAATGGCTTTTCAGAGTCAGAGTGCCCGCTCGGCTCACATCAGGTGAGAAAAATGAGCTGTGGACAGGAGCTTCCTCTGAACGGAGCAAGGAACACAGACACTTCTCCTTCCAAGAGGAAACTTGGCAAGCGAACGGTTGAGGAGATCCAGGCCTCCAGGGAAGTGGCTCTGAGTAAGAGGGAGGCTAAGAAGAGACAGCAGCCAGACAAGGATGTGCTCAGGGAGGAACGAGAGAGACAGAAAATGGAGAGGAAAGCTCTGGCAGAGGCAGCTAGGGCCCTGAGGCCAGAGGAATGTATCAAGCATATGGTGGTGGTGGTGGATCCAGGTAAAAAGAAAACATTAAATTATACTTGGCAATGTAGATAAATGCAGATCATTACAAATTTTATTTTAAACTGCACATGCAGCCAGTCTTTCATCTGCAGTATTATTGAAGTCATTAAATGTGCTAATTGTGGCTGTAATTGTGCTGAGTGTGTTTGTGTGTGCAGCTCTCCTACAGCTGGAAGGAGGCGGCACTTTGCTGGCCTCGTTACAGGCTCTGGGTTGTAGCTGCGCCATCAAGAAACAATCCCTCCCACGCAGTGTGAGCTGGATGAGAAGAGCTCCCTGTGCGCAGGTGATAAGACACATGCAATATTTTTCTCTTTACCTCACTTTACTCAAAGTGAAGCATGAATGTGAACTTGTCAAATTTGCCGTAATTGCCAAAAATGAATGAGAAGTGGTTTCATGAGTGCTTATTTAGCAGTAACACCTTTTATTATCTTTGCCATGTTTCAGGGAGATGAAGGAGCATCTGTACCAGAGGCCAATGTTGTGATACAGATGACAGTGGAGGACTTCATTACTTTGATCCACAACTACGTTCAGGTTTGTTGTGGGTGCTGATGGTATGCTTGAAGGATCAACAGAGCAGAACCACTGCTTCTTCTACTGACTTCTGACTTCTTCTACTGTTTAGAAGAAGTCTAGATGAAGCATAACTGCATCTGATCAGAAACTAGGCGAGTTTAGGAACAACAGGAGGAAAACGGAGAAGGCAAAAGGCAAGCGCCAATTAGAAAATGACTTTAGGTAATGTTAAAGGAGTTATGTATTTTGGCCATTAGGGTAAAAAACCACACAAATGATAAAAACTTCCATCGGTCCATTAAAAAAAGAAAAAAGAAAAAAAAGATCAGATGGTTCAAACCATAAAAATTCTCTGTGAGACAACAGTAACCATAGAACAATAAAAATACGAGGGTGAGTGTGAAAATATTTTGAGAAAAATATTTATTTATTCTTTACTTATTTAAGAGGGTGAGTAACATACTTCCCTTGACCTACAACCATTCATGTAAGCACTATTTAACTTTTTTCTCTGCTTGTTCTATCGCAGTGCTTTCTAACATTCACACACATTCATACTCCAATGGCTGCATTGGAACTTTGGGTTACTATCTTGCCCAAGGATATTTGGCATGGAGACTGGGACAGCCAGAGATTGACCCACCAACCTTCCGATTAGTAGCTTTATAGCTATTGCTAATTTCTACCCTTAGAAAACCAGTGGCACCTGCAGTGCTGCTTATATGTACAGCTAGTATGAGCTTAAACATTGATGACATCCACGTTTTGTACATCAACCAAGAAAATTAGATTATGCTAAACATGTACAAATGGTCAACTCCAAGCTAACGAATTCCCCATAAAATGTAAATATGTTTAAAAAAATTACAAATATTTTCTGAAACAGGTAGTTTTAGCAGTAGTTTTCAACAAACCTTACTAAGACTAGGGTAAATTATGTATTTGTAGCCAACTGTTTTCAGTAGTAGATTCATATATTCTTGGTGGCATAGAATGATTTTTGTTGCAGAAAGACACTGAGATGAAAGGTGTTGTCTTATTTATGTTTTTTTAAATAACATGTACAACACTGGAGCTTCAAGGCACAGAGAAATAACAGGTATGAGGCTTTCAATATTCAATACACACAATCATAAATTGTGTGTATTGAATATATTGTAATTGTGAGCGTGGCGAAAAACTGACGCAGAAAATTGCTTATGCAGGACATGGCAAACAAGAAAATATGTTATTACATGTAAGAAATAAAGGTAAACGTTTACATAATTTTCATTCTTGTCATTAGTTGCATAGTATAATTAATTTGAAAGAGTTCTAATTGCATATCAACAGAGTTAATTTTTTTTCCTAATATCTACCTCCCTGTCTAATCCAGAATGAGAGGCATGGCAGATCAGACTGTGGGTCCACATTGACATCCTGGGTCCAGGAGCAGCAGAGGCGTCACCTTGGCAAGACCCTTAGCCTAGCAATTATTGAGCTTGAGAAATACTTCAGGTAAGGATTTGAAGGTTGAGCTGTAGAACATTTTAAAGCATAATTTGGTTATTGTTGCTCTATAGTATGTGCTATCGTTGTATTTAGCCCCTCTATTAATGGGAAAGTTGTTCATCTGGCTCAGGATCCATCGGATTTTAATTAATTTAATTATGAAGTTCCACAGGGTTCTGTGGTAGGACCAATTCTGTTTACATTACAAATGCTTCCCTTGGGCAGTGTAATTAGAAAGCACAGCATACATTTTCACTCCTGTGCAGCTGACTTTATCTCTCTATGAAACCAGATAAGACAAACCAGTTAAATAAACTGCAGGAATGTCTTCATGACATAAGGACCTTGATGACCTAAAATGTTTTGCTTCCAAATTCAGCTGAGGTTAACGTACTCGGCCACCAAAAATCTCAAAAATATGGTCTCTAACCAGGTGCTTACTATGGGATGGCATTACTTTGACCTCCAGTAACTCTGTGAGGAATCTTGGAATCGGTTTTCACCAGGATATGTCCATCAATGCACGTATTAAAAAAATATGTTTGACTTTCTTCCATTCGAAATATCTCTAAAATTAGAAACACCCTATTTCAAAGTGACACTAAAAAACTAGTTCATGCATTTATTACTTCTAGGATGGACTACTGTAATTTGTTGTTATCAGGATGTCCTAAAAAACTCCCTGAAAAGCTTTCAGTTGATCCAAAATGACTGGGAAAGAGAGCATATTTCAGACGATATTAGACTGGAGGCTTACTTATGATTCCCAGAAAATTTAAGTTAAAAGTAAGAAAGTAGAATGGGAGGCAGAGCCTTCAGCTTTCAGGCCCCTCTTCTGTGAGACCAGCTTCCAATTTAGATTCAGGAGACAGACAGCCTCTCTCTACGTTTAATATTAGGCTTCAAACTTTCCTTTTTGATAAAGCATATATTTAGGGCTGGATCAGGTCACCCTGAATCCTCCCTTAGTTACACTGCAATAAGCCTAGGCTGCTGGGGCAGTCCCATGATGATGAGTTTTTCCTTCCCACTGTCACCAAAGTGCCTGCTCATAGGGGATCATATGATTGTTGGGATTTCTCTATATTTCTTTGTGTTTTTGTCTTGTATTTGGGTCTTTGCCTTACAATATAAAGTGCTTTGAGGCGACTGTTGTTAAATTGAATATATCACCAAATAGATAATCTCTCAGGCTTTATTACTTTTCTTTCTCACTATGAAAAAACTTTTTTTTTAATGATCACTGCCAGAAACAACACCACCCAGTCATGAAAGCTCTTATTAAAACCCATTTGATGTAAAATGCAAAAGAATATTTTTTTGAAACCTATCTTCTTTAATGTATTTTTCAAAAGTATCATGATCCATTTTAAAGTTGGGACCCTCCCCCCCGCCCCAAGGAAAAAAAGGCTCATTTTTTAAGTTGAATAATTTAAAAGCCCTATGACTTTGACTACATCAACACTTGTGGTGGTATCTGTTTCTCAGGAGGCAGAAGGTCAGGAGATTGATTCCACATGCCCAAGTGTCCTTGAGCTACATGCTCACCCCAGAGCAATGAACTGTGACTGTGTGGGTCTGTCAGTAAGCTGTATGAATATGTGTGTGAATATGAATGTGGCTGGTGGTAAGAAGCACTTTGAATGCTCAATTAGAGCAGGAAAGCTGTATGTAAACACTAAAGTAACATCTGGAACTAAATAAAAAACTGAAAGATACTGAAATTAAAATGATAAATATTTACCAAAATTGGGAAATTAATGTATTACAATTACCAATTAAATACAAAATACAAATAAACGAGTACCTCCAATTAATCAAAATCTAAAAATGATACAATAAGGAACTTAAATGTACAATCAATATATGCAATGAGGTGGTAAAAATTTTCTGTATCTTTGCGACAACCGAGCTAAAACGCAGAGAATGGTCTGTCCATTACACCAGTTTTATGGTCCTACAAAGGTGTCTCTTTGTGTAACTTGCATAATAGTATAGTAAAGTGCTTCATAAAGTGTTTAAAAACAACAAGGCAAGCACTCAGAAACTGCATAACTGCGAAAACACATGGCTGTCTGAAAATATCACAAGCATCACTGTGTAATCTGGAAAACCTCTGGTGGAAATGCTGTGAGGAATAGGTGTGAAGAGAGTAAATGCATCAATGAAGGTCCTGAGCATTAATGTCTAAAATGACCAAAAATGTTTTTTCCCAAGATCACAGAAATCACAAAAACAGAAGCATTTTCGAGAGGCTGTTGCAGGGGAGGAGACGGGGGGAAGTAAAGCCAAGAGGAGAAAGAAGAATGGTGGAGCTGGTGTACTGCCTGAGGTGTCGCGAGTTGACGTAGAGGAGGTAGGTTAGGTGGTTGACACAGGACAATTTATAATTATATAGAAAAAATATAAAATTAAAGAGCTTTTGTATTAATTAAACAATTCCCACGCAACTGAATCAATATATCCCTTAAATATAATAGTGGATAATGTGTGAAAATGAACGTACATGGCCATGTGTGGAAAAAGTGATTGCTACCCCTAAGAAATCACTTAAATGGAAACTGCATGACAAAGTGGAGTAGACCAAAAGATCCTAAAAAGCCAGACATCATGCTGTAATCCAAGGCAAGTCAGGAACAAATGAGAAATAAAGCCACTGAAATTCCAGTCTGGAAGTAATAAATGCATGAACTAGTTTTTCAGTGTCACTCTGAGACAGGATATTGTGCAAATGGAAGAAAGCAGTCTTACATATTTGTTTAATATGTGCATTGAAGGACATATCCTGGTCAAAAATGACTCCCAGCTCCCTCACAGTGTTACTGGAGGCCAAGGTAATGACATCCATAGTAAGCATCTGGTATGCTACCGTATGACTTTTAAGACCGAGTACCAGAACCTCAGGGTTATCTGAATTTAGAAGCAGGAAATTAGAGGCCATCCAGGTCTTTATGTCTTTAGAACATTCCTGCAGTTTAACTAATTGGTGTTGGTTATCTGGCTTCATGGTTAAATAAAGTTGGGTGTCATCTGCATATCAGTGAAAATGTGTGGTGTGCCCTCTAATGATACCTCCGCTAAGATAGGACTGCCTTTAACAGTCTTGATCAGTGATGAACAGTAAGATATTATAGCTTTACTAGTTATCTGCTTTAATCTTTTAAATTAGGACTACGCTTCCTCCTCATTGTCATCCAGCCGTCCTGTTTTCCTGGCTGCTCGGGACAGTGTTCTGGGGGAGACGCTACCTTTTGTTGCACCGGCTACAGGGGCTTGCCTAACCTGCGTTTTTCAAGGGTGTGAAGCTGGGTCTCAAATTCAGTGATATTGGCCTCCAGGACTGCAAACACACTACACTGATTACAAGTATCATTATTGCTACAGGAGACCAAGAAGTAAACTAAACATCTGACACAATGAGCAGGAAAATGCAGGAGGAACAGGTGTAGAGGCCATGGTACTAGCAGGTTTGCTATGAGCTAAGCTAGTGAATCCCTAAATACAGAGTGAGTGAATATTTTAAATTAAATAATTTAAAATGTAAAACTTCTTCGTGTGTTTTGGATAAAGTGTGTGAAAATGACACTGTGAAATAGGATCTTATCTAGTTTTTAATACAACTGGCTATACAAATAAGCTACACAAAAACACCACTGTGTTGTAACAGGAAGTGATACCCTACCGCAGAGAGAGCCAACACCAAGCGGAGCGCCATCCAAAGGAATGTCAGAGTGACTCACTGACAGCTATCGCAAACGCTTGATTGCTGCTAAGGATGGGCCAACCAGTTGTTAGGTTTAGGTTCAGTGCCACGTAGGTCTGCCCCCCCCCCAACAATAAACACCTGCATTTTGCATTTACTTGTGCTATTTTTGTCTAATGTTTAATGTTGAAATTTGTTTAATGATGTGAATCATTAAGTGTGAGAAACATAAAAAAGGGGAAATGAAGAAGGGTGCAAACACTTTTTCACACCACTGTAAGATGTTTATTTAGTTTTTTTATATCGGTCTACAATTTCAAGGATCTCTGGCTGCAGTGGCAAACATGTTGATTTATACTAAGAGTCTGGTGTGTTTTCAAGGGGCAAATTAAGTCATGGTTACTATTTTGCTTAGGCTTACAGTGATTCATGTTTGTTTTCTGATATCCCTTCAGGCAATGGTGCATCTCCAGCTTCACACTGGTGTCTCAGTCTGCTTCTTTTGTACCTGGAGGGACTTCTCGGATCACATCACCATGACAACCAAAGCAGTTGCAGAGGCCCCTTTCAAGTGAGCAACTGTTTTTTTGGGGGGGTTTTTTCTCTCTCATCACAGTTCAGCTTAACGCCACCTCTGCCAGATCAAACAGTCATTTCCCATGTTTCCCTGTTTTTTCAGGAGAGAGAGGGAAAAGACTGGCTTTTCCTTCTACCTAGAGAGTGAGTGGGCAGGAGGCCAGCGGGTGGATAGAGGTGGTAAGGGCCTGCTGCAGGTGTGGAAGAGACAGATCCAGCAGTTCAACAGAGTGAGCACAGACATGGCTGCTGCCATCTTGGCAGCTTATCCCTCTCCACAGCTGCTCAAGAAGGTACAAGCTTGATTATAGCAACAGCTGACTGACAAGGCCATGGTGAAGAATATATAATTCTGCCTTTCTGTTTTACTCCTGCTTCTGTATGTAATTAGAACAGTTCTATCAGATTCTTCTAACATGAAAAAATATTTTCTATTCTTATGGCAACAACAACCCCTGATTCACAGCTTGTAAGGACTTAAAGGATCCACTGCTAACCTCTTATTGCGTTGCTCAGAACACAGTTGCAGAGAATTATTAGGTTTTTCACTGAAGTTCCATATAACGGAGCTCTGCTACAGTCTTTATGTTAAGGCAGGTTCACGTTGGCTGCTTGAAAGTCAAACAATGTAATGTAATATTTGATCATTTTATTTAGAAACTCTGAGGTAATTTTCTTTTGAACTTTTCTTTGATGGTTTGAAGTCCTTTACTTCTCTGGATTATCTTCATGTTTGTCATTCATTGAGTTGAGTTATCTTTATCTAATATTAGAATTTGATCCTAAACATTAAAAATATGTTCAGTAGACAAAAATATAAAATATACAAAAAACATTACATTACAGTAACAATCTTGTATATTTTTGATAAGCTACATACTTGATACTTGACGAGAGTTAGCAACTCCAAGTCTGATGCCAGGCGTTCAAGTTGGGGATGGATTGCTGCCTCAAGTGGAGCAAGTAAAGTGGGAGAAGAGTGGAGTAGGACACTGACAGATGGAGTGGCGCAGTGATGCAGGTGCTGTACTGGTCTGTTGTGCTGAAGAGACAGCTGAGCGTGAAAGCAAAGCTTTTGATTGCAATAGCAAAATTCTGAAAATGTGGTACTATAGGAAGCAAATGGATCAAGGTTGTAATTCTTCCTGAACTGATGAGAATTGCATACATATACAAGTCTTCTCATCTGTTTTTTTTTAGTGCTGTCAGCGTTGATCTTGTTAAAACGACGTTAACGGCGCTAACGTGTTGACGCCGTGTGTCGCCCGCGCACGGGGTGATCCACGCTAACTCGCTAACGGAGATTTGCCGCGTTAATGCGGTTATGGTGTTAATGTCATTTTAATTAGATTAATTCTGACAGCAATACTGTTTTTACATGTTGATAAAAGATGATGGCCATAAGAAAACTACAAATGGCACAGCAAAACTACATGAGGAAAATGGCCCCATGTAGTTTTTGATGTTAAAGGCATCAAGAGTTGGGTATGAAGGTATACTTTACATTTCTGGTATTGTGACGTTTTTAGTTCCTACCCTCAGCTATGGCCATGAGTGATTAAAAGAATAAAACACACACAAATGAACTTCCTCTGAGGTGTGTGTGGTCTCAGTCTTTTTAGGTGTACTTTTTGCCAAATGGGTGTTTTTTAAAATCCACAAATATTTACAACAACATGAAATGGTAGGGGACCAATAACTGGAATCATTAATAGTAATGTGCTTTCAGAAGTCCTACTGCTTGTTTTTATGTTCTGTCTCTGGCTTGTGAAGCCAATTTTGAATTATAGGGGCCCTATTATACAGTGGCTTGCAAAAGTATTCAGCCCCCTTGAACTTTTCCACATTTTGTCACATTACAGCCACAAACATGAATCAGTTTTATTGGAATTCCACGTGAAAGACCAACACAAAGTGGTGGTCATACATGATATCAAACATTTTTTACAAATAAATAACTGCAAAGTGGGGTGTGCGTAATTATTTAGCCCCCTTTGGTCTGAGTGCAGTCAGTTGCCCATAGACATTGCCTGATGAGTGCTAATGACTAAATAGAGTGCACCTGTGTGTAATCTAATGTCAGTACAAATACAGCTGCTCTGTGACGGCCTCAGAGGTTGTCTAAGAGAATATTGGGAGCAACAACACCATGAAGTCCAAAGAACACACCAGACAGGTCAGGGGATAAAGCTATTGAGAAATTTAAAGCAGGCTTAGGCTACAAAAAGATTTCCCAAGCCTTGAACATCCCACGGAGC